ATAACACCCTCATCTCCAGCTAATTAAGCAGAGCAGCTCTGCCTTGTGTCAGCCGGGCTTTGCTGTCTGGGCTCGGAACATAAACCAGAGCCCACGAGCCCATTTCACCAAGCAAACACTCCAAAGGGAAGTTTCCCCCCGCCACCCTGGCAATGTAAAAATGAAATAGTTTCATCGTGTGGAGAGCTGGAGAGAGGAAGTTTATCCCAGCCCATTGGTGGGGCTTTTTTTAAAGGGGCAAATCCACCATTGTTCGGGCAGCGATGAACGGCCCGTTTAAACAGGCACAAAACAAACCCCGGGCAAAAACTCGGTGCAACTGCAGTACCCGCTGTAAAAAGGCTAAAAAACTGTGCAGCCAGGACTTAGAGGTGTAAAACAGCCCTCAAACCATTCGAGAAACCGCCGCAAGTAAATGTTTTGCTCACATGCCGAGATGGCTTGCCATTTGCCACAGTTAAGGTGTCCACACGCTCTCCTAGGGGGCCCCCAAAATGTTCGTCTGTCTCAAAATTAGTTCCCCTACCCACTGCACACGCAGCCTGTGGTTTAGTTTTGTGTAAATAGGTGGCTCTGCTGCCGTGGGGTTTATGGCTATTGCTGGACTCCCATTTTTTGCACACCGTGCCCCTCATTTCTACTGCAGAAAGCCCAAGAGGAGCGGGTTTTTATCAAGCTAAGCCTGGTTTATAAACCAGAGTGCCTTTTCCCATGCTAATCTGGCTAAAACACTGCAGCAACCAGATCTAAAAAAAAAAAAAAAAACCCACACACAAAAACCCAGGCTTCTTGTCAAAAACAGATGTAAAATGTCCCAAACACATATTTCTTCAGCAGTTTAGATTGGCTGAGTAGCAAAGTGCTGGGCTGGAACAATGCATTTATTCTGTTGTTCCCCAAATGATGTGTTGCCATTAAGCCAAGGATGGCTTGAAAAAATCTGTTATCTAATGTCCAACCACTCCTGTCACGCAGGAGGGAGCAAAACCTGCTTTTTTAAACCAGACTTAAAAGAGAATCGTGGCTTAAATGACTGTTGAGATCGTTCTGACGGGGCAGATTTTAGATGCAGATAAAAAAAAAAAAAAAAAAAACAAACAAAAAAAAAACTGGGAGCGAAATTATGAAATGAGCGAAAAAAACGCCACAAATTAGAACCAAATCCTGATGCGTTTTGGGGTCGATTTGGAGGTTTTTGCCGCAGGGGTCGTTTTCCAAGGCTCCCAGAGTTCCCCCCCCCCCGTGCTGTGCCTGCGTGAGCGGGACACGCGTGCGGTTGAACTGCTGAAAACGCTGCTGACAAATGGCCTGGTGCGGAGCGGTGTCAGATTCGATCGGGTACGGCCACACCGAGCCCCTCTGCCAGCAGAGCCAAAAGCGCTCCAGGGTCCCCCAGGAACGCCCTGACACGGGGAAACTCAGCTGGGTGGTGGGACGTGGACTTTGGCACGGGGCTGTCCTGCTCAGAGGAGTTTTGGTGGATCACACGGGAGCAAACCCAGCCTCGACAGGCAACAGGTCCTGTCTGAACTCAGGATCAGCTCCTGCCTTTCCTAGGGAGCATGAATGAGCTGTCTGAATCCAGGATCTGCTGCCTGAGTTCAGGATCAGCTCCTGCCTTTCCTAGGGAGCATGAATGAGCTGTCTGAGTCCAGGATCTGCTGCCTGAACTCAGGATCAGCTCCTGCCTTTCCTAGGGAGCATGAATGAGCTGTCTGAATCCAGGATCTGCTGCCTGAACTCAGGATCAGCTCCTGCCTTTCCTAGGGAGCATGAATGAGCTGTCTGAGTCCAGGATCTGCTGCCTGAGTTCAGGATCAGCTCCTGCCTTTCCTAGGGAGCATGAATGAGCTGTCTGAGTCCAGGATCTGCTGCCTGAACTCAGGATCAGCTCCTGCCTTTCCTAGGGAGCACGAATGAGCGCCGGTCAGAGCGGGTTGCCACCCTCCCTTTTCCCTTGGTTTTGGGGAGAGATAAGTAAGCAAGGGAAGGTTTTCTCCTTGGAGGAACAGTCATTCCTCTTGGGCCCTGAGCGAAATAAAAAGCGAAGGAGCTTTTTGATTGGAAAATCAGAGCCTTGGGAACTGGGAAAATGCCACCTGGCCCCCGCGAGCGCCAGCAGGTCGCTCCTCTGGCCACAAGAGCTTTTCCTGTTCTGCTCCACAGAATTCCAGACAACTCACTCGAGGAGGTTCAGGAGAAACAGGCGCAGCTTTGCACTTCAAGGGCTGCAAGGGGGTGTTTGAGCTGAGCCTTCTTCTCCCCCCAAAACCTGCCCGTCCTCCTGGTGGCACCTGCACACCTTCCCCTGGCAGCCACTTCTCCCTTTCGCTTTCAAAATGTTCAAGGTGCTCTAAACTGAAAAAAAAAAAAAAAAACCACAAAAAACTACTAGGAAGAAAAAAAAAAAAAAAGACATGATGTTTCCTGATAGCAAGAAAAAGCTGGGATGTCAGGACCGTGAGCAAAGTTTAAAGGGCAATGCCTCTCTAACCCCTGCACCAGTAAGACCAGTCTGCCCACACCCCCCTCACTGGGGATGAACTCTCTGCCTCCCCTGGGCTGGCACTGGCATTAATAACACCTTTCCCGTCTTTTCCGTGCTGGAGAAGCCACAGGCAACGTGTGTGCTCGATCCATAGCCCCTTCAGAACTTCCAGGGCTGCTTCCAGTATAAAACACCAGCATCCTATTTCATTTTCTCCTTAAAGAAGCAAACAGATGTTATCTCTGCTGGCCCTGGGAACAAAACCTAATTCTGGAGTATCTGAGAGCAGCACAGTGAGCTGGGGGTGTAGTGACACTGGAACTAAGCCCTTTTTGTCCCAAAAGCCCTCTTCTTTTTCGACGCATCCTTCAAAAAATGTAAATAAGTTTCCTTGACAGGAAGGATTGTAAAGTTTGGTATTTACATTAATGGGCTTGTAGCGGGGGGTTTTCATCTCAGCGCATTTAAAAGCCCAGCAAAAGGCATTTTGGAGCCTCTGTTTACGTTCGTGTCGTTCCCTGGGAAAGGATAAATCTGTTACCCAGCAGACACCAACCACGCTGCGAGTCAGCCAAAAAACGCTCAGGCTCAGGGATCTCTGAAAAACAGGGTGCAAGGAAAATGCTCCGGAGAAGGAGACACGCAAAAAGACAAATCGGCCTTGGCCCGGACACAAGTAAATGAATTACCATCAGAAAGAGCTGGAGACACGCACGGGGAAGGGAAAAAGTTGAACCAAAACCAAAGGACCGCTTAGAAAAAGCGGTAAAAACATGTTGTTACTTAATTTGCCCGAGGCAGGGCTGCGGTAAAAAGTCCTATCGGGAGAGATGTGCGTTGAAGGGTCATTAAGGGAACATTCAAGGCAGACATTTGGGCTAAGTAGACCTAATTTGTCTCCAAATTAGTCATCCTCGCACCGCTCGGCTCCGCAGAGGAGCTCTGCTTTTCAAAGCATCCTCGTGAAAACAAAGGGAAAGATTGAAACTCTTCTCCTGTGCAACCTCCCTTCACATTCCTGCCTTTAGTGCTTTTTTTTTGGTTTTGGCCGGGGTGGGGGTGGAATATTTCCTGGAGTTGCAGGTAGCGGTGATAAACGAGCCCTGGAGATCGCAGCGGGCTCTCACGGAGCGGGGACAGATGCGGGAACCGCCGCCGAGGTCCCTTGTGGGGACATTTCGTGTCGCTCTTTCCCCCCCCCCCAGCAGTATGATTATGTTTATAGCTGTGGCCCTGAGAATCATTTCCATGTGGTTCAGCACGACTTTGAAACCCCCAAGCCCGAAATCCCCAGAATTTATGTCCTGCC